TGTATTTTCCGAATTCGATTGACATCTTCTGTACAACATATTCGATTCAAGGCTCATATATGAGATTATGGAGCTAACCAATTTGATGCATTGTCTTAACTCTTAACAGATATTTCGGGAGCAGAAAAGTCATTGATTCCCATTCATCAAATGATGATGTAACCAATTCCTCATGAGTGCGAACGCCTCATCCGCATCTCTATCGTCTTCCGGCGTCTCTGGCCGGTGAACAAAGCCGTGGCCTCTTCCTTCAAACACCACAACCTTTGAACCTTCACCAATCTTCTCCTCAATCTCGTGCAAACCATCCACTTGGCAAAGCGGGTCTTTGTCTCCGGTAATGAACAAGACAGGGACTTTCACATCTCCGGCCACTGCAGAGTCTATTCTCGTGCCGTAGAAAGAGACACCGGTGCTGAAGTAACCGTTCTTGTCGGCGGCTAACACGTCAACCACGCGTCCACCACCGAAGCAGAATCCCATCACTCCTAGCTTCATCGACATCCCAGCCGCTGCAAATTCCTCGACCATCCATTTCGTCAAAGCTGTTGTCTCTTGTCGGATCCGGTCTGGGTCTTGTCCTCTTCTCCATTCCTCGAATTCGGACTCTGGTCGGTTTTTCGACCATGGATCTCCTCGGAACAGGTCCGGGACAAGAACACTGTCTCAAAGAATTCCAAATTAGAATCATGAAAATTTGGAATTTATGAGAGAGAGAAAGAAGAAAATGGATACTTGTAGCCATTGCAAGCGACTCGGTAAGCGAAATCGCGAGTAGAGGAATCTTGAAAGCCGAAGATATCAGAGAGTAGAAGCAATCCAGTTCCGTTGTTGTTCTTTACCGCCGTTAAAAGGTAAGCTTCGACGCCGTCAATTGACAGTTCTGTACCGTTAACCAGCTCACACGCTTCTTCTCCTTCTTCTACCTCCACGTTAACGGCGCCGTCAGAGGTCTCGAGGGCAGAAATTTTCCTCAGAGACCTTCGTCTCGTGATCATATGTTTTCCGATCTGAGAAAATTAGGAGATGATATTAAAGAAACCAAACTTAATGATTGCTAATTAGTAAGAAGCAGAGACGTACAGAGGAAGGGAGGAGGAGGTTTGAAGGAGGAAGGCGGTGACTGCCATGGCGGTTGAACAGTTGCCGTGTTCCGGCTTGAGCGGAGGAGGAAAGAGAGGCTAAAGATGCAGCCATTGTTATATCTTTGCCAAGATCAGTGGTCAGCGACTCTTTCTCTGTATTTTGTTTGGACAAATATCTTAAGTCACAAACTCACAGTGTGGACAAATTTGGCATAATATTTTTTTTATTAGAAAAGAATGATATTTCGCAAAATACACAAACTTATTCATTAAAGGAAATATTTCTGAAACTACCGTTTAATTAGTTCGACTTTTCCATTTGCATTACTAAGCAAAAAAAAAACTCTCCAAAACGACGTAGTTTGATGAGTTATACACGGTTTTATACCGACTACAAAATCTACATATATTGCGTGTTGAATTCGATATGGTGAGTTTTGACCTTCAGGTTTTTGCAAGGTGAAGGTAAAATTAACAAATCCTTTTTGGATTTGATATTGATTCAAGGGGATTCAAATTGAAGATTTAGGGTTTTTCAGCCCCCAAAAATTTGCATATGGAGCCATCGATGAGTTCCTCTGACATCTAAATCATCTCGAAATAGATGGAATCAATGTCGATGACTGACCATGTTCTCCGTCGTAGCAAGAGACTTGCATCGCGTAGATTTTCTCCATACACTTCAGGGTCAGTATTATTCAGTAATAAAGAGTTTGCTTTCTTCTTACTCAAGTGTACAAAGTTAAAAAAAAACACTTCTTGGTTTTTGCAGTACTAATGATCAGACGGAGAAGCAGAAAGCGGAAGCTGTAGAATTAGGAGTTGAGCTCTCGCTCTTTCTTGCTGAAGCAATGTTCATATTATCTGATGACATACGTTCTACGCTTTGGTTCGGTCATTGGCTATGCAGTAAGGACTAAGGGAAGCATGACTATAACGGTCCGGTGGTAGGAAGGCTGTTTAGTGTTTTCCATTACGTGTTTAGAACATATATCAAACCCAAAGTTGGTGTTGCTGGAGTCTATGATCAACCTGGTGGCAATTCGATCCAATGTCATGAACTGATCACTCAGGATTTTGCTTTTCTCGTCAAAAGTTTGGGTCGCATTGTTTCCTATCTCAAAAATGGTGGCGTAGTGAAATCTTGTAGTTTTGAAAAATGGTTTCCGAAGAAGCTAGGTGAGAGTTTGAGGTCTGCCAAGCATGTTTCAGGGACGGATGGGTTTCCGAGGGAAACGATAAAGTCTAAGGCTCTTCCCTTGTGGACGTCTCTCTTTGAAGCAAAACCCAAACGGATAAACCCTCAGAGTAGCTTGACAAGGTGAGGAATTTGGACTTGATATTAATGTTTTAGGGTTTTCATATTGAAGTTGCGATCTTGAGGTTCTTCTCTTTGTTGCTCGATTCATAGAACCAA